TTTTGACATTGGCATCCGGATCACCCAAAAAATCGTGTGCTATAGCACACGAAAATCATCGAAATGAGGGGTATGCTCGCTTCGGGGCTCGTTTGACCTTCCAAATGGGTCGGACAAGACGTGATGGCCAACCATATGCATAGACAAGGTCTGGACGGACGTCCACGAAAAAATTTGGCATTTTTAACGTCGGAATCTAGATCACGCAAAAAATCATGTGCTATAGCACACGAAAATCATCAAAATGAGGGGTATGCTCGCTTCGGGGCTCGTTTGACCTTTCAAATGGGTTAGCCAAGCCGTGATGGCCAACCGTATGCATAGACAAGGTCTTGACAGACGTCCACAAAAAAATTTGGCATTTTTGACGTCGGAATCCGGATCACCCAAAAAATTGTGTGCTATAGCACACGAAAATCATCGAAATGAGGGGTATGCTCGCTTCGGGGATTGTTTGACCTTCCAAATGGGTCGGACAAGCCGTGATTGTCAACCGTATGCATAGACAAGGTCTTGACGGACGTCCACGAAAAAATTTGGCATTTTTGACGTCGGAATCAAGATCACCCAAAAAATCGTGTGCTATAGTCGTGTGCTATAGCACACGAAAATCATCGAAATGAGGGGTATGCTCGCTTCGGGGCTCGTTTGACCTTCCAAATTGGTCGGGCAAGCCGTGATGGCCAACCGTCTGCATAGACAAGGTGTTGACGGACGTCCACAAAAAAATTTGGCATTTTTGACGTTGCAATCTAGATCACCCAAAAAATCGTGTGCTATAGCACACGAAAATCGTCGAAATCAGGGGTATGCTCGCTTCGGGGCTCGTTTGGCCTTCCAAATGGGTCGGACAAGCCGTGATGTCCAACCGTATGCATAGACAAGGTCTTGACGGACGTCCACGAAAATTTTTTGCATTTTTGACGTCGGAATCCGGATCACCCAAAAAATCGTGTGCTATAGCACACGAAAATCATCGAAATGAGGGGTATGCTCACTTCGGGGCTCGTTTGACCTTCCAAATGGGTCGGACAAGCCGTGATGGCCAACCGTATGAATAGACAAGGTCTTGATGGACGTCCATGAAAAAATTTGGCATTTTTGATGTTGGAATCCGGATCACCAAAAATCGTGTGCTATAGCACACGAAAATCGTCGAAATCTGGGGTATGCTTGCTTCGGGGCTCGTTTGACCTTCCATATGGGTCGGACAAGCCGTGATGGCCAACCGTATGCATAGAAAAGGTCTTGACGGACGTCCACGAAAAAATTTGGCATTTTTGACGTTGCAATCCGGATCACCCAAAAAATCGTGTGCT